AACAAATTTTACCAATATAAAGAACTTCCAAGAGCACATTCTGGGAGAAAATGAGCCCAAATGCAAAATTTTTATATCTTTACTATTCAATTCTCCAAGAGGATTGCTTTCATAATTGAATATCACATCATTGGGTCTATTTAAAATTTTGAACGTCATATTTTTATTGAAGAAATTATAGCAAAGATCTAAAGAAATATACCCTACTCTAAAACATACAAATGTGAGCCAAAATGAAAAAAATATGATCCATTTGAGTAGTGGGTTGGCCTATGATCACAGTTCATAAACAAATGTAATCAAATAAAGAACCCTATGATCTCAACCACTTTTGTTCAAATTTTCAGCGAGCTAATATTGAGTTTCCAGCAGATTCTTTTTCAACTCTCTGTTCTATTTCCTATTTTACTTGTTTTTACAGTAGCCTTCAGAACTTGTTCCTAGGCCCCTCCGATGAATGAAATGATGCATGAGTTGTGCAACTGAAAAAGTAGTATAGAAATTAAGTCACCATGTCTTTCTCAAACATTTCAGTAGTATAATCAAAGTCAGCAAGACGAGGAGGTGGAGCAGTCAATCGTGCAGGCCAAGGAGCCAAACCACTTCCTTTTGCTCTATGCATTTCTGTAGACACCAGCACAGCATGCAATTATTACATTTTAAATTCCCAATACAAAAGCATGAACTAATACTAGTAACTGCTAATAATCCAAAAGATATTAATCCACAAGCAAGTATAAATAATGCACCATCAGACAACGTGAAAAAATCTTTTTCAGCAAAAACAATTATCAACAAAGCCACTCTGGTTGTCTGAAAACATTTTCATCAGTGGTTTATTTTATGTCTGTTGATTAATCAAACAAAGGCCAAGTCACTGCATGAGTGAGCAAGGTGTTACTCACGGTCAGTGTAAGGTGTAATGCAAGCTTCCATTTTAACTCCCCAGACAGCATCAGGATCGTCATCAGGTTTGCAGAGAGGAGGTTGGGCGCCTGGCTCCCTTTTTCGGTAGCAATCATTTGTCAGAGGCTTGACCCATATAACAGTCTGATTCCTTTTAGCAGCTATTTTCCAACACATCCGTTCTACTAGAGCACTCATTTCTCTCCATATCCTTCGATCCTCTTCATCCTGCGCATATGCTTCAGGAGATGAATATGCAAAATAACCTCCTGGCCTGAGTAACCGATCCACCTCAAGAAGAAGGATACCATCTCTTTGGAGCCAGTCAATTCTACAACGAGAACAATGAGCAAGTTCAAATGATCTACTAGGGTAAGGGAGTCTTTTTGTCCCCAAGACACCAAGATATGCCGGAATGCCTCTCTCTAGAGCAAACTGGATCTGGTTTTCATGAACATCATTGGGTGCTAATGACATTGCTATTACATTAGAAGAAAGTAGATATCCTCCAAAGCTTGCAACTCCACAGCCAACATCAAGAACACTCCGCAATCTTCCTCCATTGTTTATCTTATTGTTTGGAAAGTTAAGCATCTGTACATTCATGAGTATGATGTTAATATACTACCAGTCATGAGAGAACTTATTTTCAGTAGCATTCTATTCGCAAACTATAATGGAGTAATTGCCATACATTTGCCATTGATGCAATGTATTTATCAGCACCATAATGGAAGTGCGTTCCTCCACCAGGAAAAACTATCTTTTCTCCTTTTACAATCATCCATCTCTGATCAGATTTCTCAGTTGCAAGGTGGGTATGGGGTATATTTGCTTTCCATACCTGATCTCTGCTTTTGGGCCATTTCATTGGAACCTGTTTTTATAGCATAAGAAACAGGAGATTTAGCCCAGAAAGTCCTCACTAACATCTAACAAGCAAAGACCAGAAAGTCACCTTGTAACCAGGGGGAGGAGGAATCAGACAATTATAACGCCTCTCAGGCATTGGGCAGTGTCGTTCATAATGCTCCATCAATGACAAATCAAGTTTCAATCTTGTCTGGTATATTAGGTTTCTGTCTAAACAGGGAATCAGCTCTGAGAGACGATCATCGCATACCTTACAAAGGTAAAAAGAAATACAAGATGACTTGATTATTTCATCACAGGAACTAATATTTGAGGTTAGCAGGAATGGGAAATTAAAATTTGATCAATTCTAGGATAACTCACTGGAATTGTCTTCAGCATAGGACCATATCCTACAATTGTTTTGGGGGAAGATTCATTGGCATCTTCATCCCCTCCCCAACCAAAGTGTTTCAAAGATTTACTACCGTACTCAAGAGGAGATGAGCCACTTTTCCGAGAACACAAGTAAAAGAAAGCACAAACAATGACCAACACTAACAACGTGACCAGCTTCTTTCTCGGGTTCCCATCTGCTCTGTTTCGATTCATTCTTGCCACTGCAAATAAATCACCTTTTTACTATCATTTCATCTGGCAGAAGATCAAACTGCAAATTTTCACAAGGCAAGCAATTGCTTAATCGAAACCCAGCTCAAAATTTTCTCACCGCACTCACTGATTCAAAGTTCCCCCAAAATGCCCTTAATTTAAAGGCACGGACTCAATAATTCATATTCCATTTAGCATCCAGGAGTGCCGGTGAGAATCATAAAACGAAGCTGCACAAAAAGTTGAAATCAAAATCAATGGAACGTTACATGCATTGTAAGAATTAGCATAAACGCATTAGCTCTTCGTGGGACCAGCTGCACACTCTTCCGGGAAAAGAAAAATTACTGTTTGATCAAATAAATCATCAACAAAACCAAATAGCTAAGCAAAACCTCGAAAAAACGATGGGATAAAGATAGTGGGATTACGGTATCAAAAGCACTACAGGAATTTCGAGTAGTAACAGTGGGAAATGTGAGCTTTGAAGAATAGCACATTCAAATAAATTATGACAAACACGTGAGTTAAGATATTCCAACGCCGAAGATGTAGCGAATCCAACTGGATTACTAACTAGAAGTGAACGCCTCCGAGTTTCGTAGGAGAAGTGCAAATGAAGCAAAAGAGCAAGTGGGTAAGTAGGGACGAGACTGGAAAAAGCATAACGGACAGAAGATAGCGAGTCACCGACAGAAGTTGCCAGCTATTCACATGAATGCGATTCCCGGACGAGGATAGCTGAAAGAGACCGACAACACTCATCACACAGAAACAAACACAGAATTCACGAAATTTACCCCCAGGCGGAAAGGAAAAATAGTAATAGTTTGAGGTCCCCGGGGGGGGGGGGTAAAAAAAGGGTACCAAGTAGTACAGTCTTCCCTATCAACGTAAAGCCAAGACATAAAATTACATCATTTTGCAAATAGCTGTGGAATCAGATCCAGGCCATGTTCTTCGTGAATTGTAGGATGAAGGTGAAATGAAAGAATAGATCTAAGCTTTTTCTTTTATTCCCCTACAGAAAAGGACCGGACTCCGAGCTCGAAGTGGAAAATAGAAAAGACAATACAACAACATACGTACCTTATGCAAGAACTTCGCCCTGAGGGGGAAGAGAAAGTGAGTGTGTGATAAATAACAACCAAAATCGCAACAAATCAAGAAGGATCTATGAATGAGATCTACATCTAAAGCTAAGTATTTCTTAAATTAAATATTATTGTGTGTTAGAGGCAGCAGCTGGTAATAACTAGAAAGAACTAAGGACACGAGCAATCAATTAAACAAGAGCCCGCGGCGGAGAAGGCGCGAGTTCATGAAGGGCACGAGGGATGATGCTCTTTTTTTTCTTTTTTTTTTAATTTTAATTTTATTTTTATTTTGCCAGAACACAAAAGTGATGAATTAACTCAGTGAATGTAGATATTTTTATTTTTATTTGTAAAGCCCGAAGGGAGAATTATTATTCTTTTTTTTTTCGTTTCTGGTACAAGAGGGAGGGGAGCATTGTTTAAGATTTTTTTTGGCTGCCCAGAGTATCCTTCCATCTGAATAGTAAGAGACTAATCTCTCGAGATGCTGTTAAGCCCCATAACGTGGACCCCTCCTAACAATTTTTTTTTCATTCACACCGTCTCAAGAATCAATGGCAAAATATGATATTTAAGATATTCAAATCCTTTCTATTTGGATCAATACTTATTGGTTGTTTAAGATTTATAAAAACTTACTCGTCAAGCAGTTTTTTTTTTGTCCAATACGTCAAGCAGTCTAACAAATTTTTGAAAAGCCGCATAAAATTTGCATTCCTGAATTTTTTCATTTTTTTGGCCAGATTGTATTCCTGAAATTCAAGCATGCCTTTTCAAGTTTTGTTGCACTCTCGTTCAGCTCAACCCTTCAAGCCCGGTAGAAACTCCAGTCAGTACACCCAAACTTATTCATGCGAGAAGTCGGATTGGGCATTATCAAAAGAATTGGGCGAATCAAGTTTTAAATTTTCATTAAGAAACGTGCCTCAAGTCAGATTAAGCATTGAGCTGGCTCAAGCCTACCAATGTGAACCTTTGATGGGTACATAATCGCCGATAATCTATTATGTTGAGAGGGACTAAAAATTAATTTCAGAATTTTCTGCCCAAAAAAAATTAATTAATTTCAAATTTTCTTTTTCAGACAAACCTATTTATATTTGCAAAGAGTGGCCAGAATCACGGGGGGCAAAAATCTCCATTGTTAAGAAGTAGGTGTGTTATCTGCCAAAACATGTAATTTCTTACCTTAATTTTGTTTGCCAATATTTCTTGCCTTATTCAAGCATATCTATTATTCACCATTTCGGATATATTTTGCTGCTAAAAACATCTTAGAAGTATTTGAAGAATATGACTTTCGAAAATTTTTATTATTTTAAAAGAAAGAATGCCAACAAAAGAACAAAGAAATTAATAATTATATTGCGATGTTTATTACTCTCTCAAATAGTTTTCGGCTCACAAGACAAAATTGAAAGGCTTGACAAATAAATTTATGAAAACTTTGACCACTTATCGTAAAAAATTTACCGCGCCCGCGCACGTCGATCTGGTCAGGTCGGGTACTTGAGGCTCTGGGAAGGCTTAATCTCAATCTGCTAGTACTGAATCTGCTAGCGAATTCTAGACCCATTAAACCCGACGTCGGATCTCAAGCTTATCAATTGGGCAGATCTGCAGGCGCTGCATGGACAATATTCCCGAATCTTCTTCCAAAGGGGCGAAACGCCGGAGAGAGGAAGAAAGCGCTGGCACTGGCGCTGATGAAACTCCATCACTCGGTACGTAATTTCATTTCGCATTGTTCTATGTTTTTATCGAAGTTTCTACGTGATCATCGAACTGGCGTGAATTCTTCAATCAAAGTCTAATTTTGATATTATTTTCTTCTGCTGCTTTTGTGATTTTATCATCTTTACCTTTATTTTTCGGTTTTACCCTGCGTTCACCTGAAGTAGGTAAATTTGAAATGCAGAGAACGATCTTACATTTAGTGATACAATGGTGGCGCTTCGAATAATGCGAGCTCAGTTTCCGCACGTTCAGCAGGTTGGACGTTAACAGAGTTGGTTCTTCTGATTTAAATTAATGATTCGAGAAATGCTCAGAAGTGAAGAGAAAGCCGAGATAATCTTTCGAATGATTTATACATTTTTGATTTCATGAAAATGCGGTTTAGCTCTTTTATCTTGTTAGAGTATTTACGTTTGCTACAAGTTTTATGATGTGCTTTTGCAGCTTTCGGTTAAGCCGTTTATTCTGAAATCACAATTATATAGCAGTGTCAAGGACCGAACACAGGTGGATAGGGAATTAGAGGTGCAGTTCTTTATCCACTCAAGACTCCGAAACTCTCATGTGCCTGTGTAGGAACAAAAGTTGTAGTTTTTTTTTACCCTGCAGTTTATTCTGAGCATAATAATTTCATCTAGAGCATTTGTGTCTAACAAGCGTTTCTTTTCTACCTCTTTATTTACTATACAAAAGTCAATTGTGACAAATTTTTATTGATACTTTTCTACATGATACAAAAAAGCCTTTTAGCTGTACTTGCATATGAATTTACTTAGGAGCCGCTTGATTTATTGGAATCTCAGATACGCAGATATCTAATACTACGTTATCAGATGCATACATATGTAGGACTTCCTCATTGTGCAAGACGTTTTACTTGGAGAAATTTGTGAGGCATGAATCACCCCGTAATGGTGGGAATGATGTCTAGAGGAGTATATTGGATGCTTGTGTTGTAATTTTATGCTTGAATACTAAACACAAACATCTAACATGCTAAAGAGCCTTGGCTTCCTAAATGAAGATGAAAGTGGTGCTAAATACCCCATAGTGTTGTCTTGCTTACTGACTAACGTGGAGCATGTTTTTCTCTGTGCAGTCTCTTAAGAGGGATAAAGTTCTGCGTATTTTCAAACTGAATACTGGACAAGATGACCATGCGATAATGTTTTTGAATGATTACTTAAATCAGGTTGGTTGAATATGCTTCGTTAATACTGTCATCACCAGCTTATTTATGCATTCTTTTGTTTTCAAGAACTTCTGGAAGGTTCACAATGCAGTCTCTTACTAATAAATTTATTTTTGAACCAAACTGTTGCTAGTAATTTGAATTCTCCCACACTGTCATCATTTCAAACATTTTGTTTGAAAAAAAAGATGCATGTTGTGTATCTTTTGATTCAGTTAAGACTTTGAAGGATTCTTGGTGCACCTTCTTGGACCACTGGATTCTTGATGCACTTACATGTGTATGTTGCTTACCTGTTGATGCATAGATAGATCATGTTGTTAAAAAAATGGATAACAAGAAGCAAGGGGAGCATCAAGTTTTTGGGTGGTTCAAAACTCATGTTCTTGATTCGAAGCTTGAGCCTGGCATTGAACATCAGGAGCTTGTGAGTGAGATTTATTATTTTGCATATGCTTGCACAGTTCTTGTTTCCAGCTATGTTCATTATACTGTTTACTCATCAGAAGTCTTTACTATCTGATTGTTTTATTGAGTTTGGGTCAATGGGAATATTCTAGAATCTGGCTTACTCACATTCATTATCATGAAGTTTATCAGCTTAGAATACATCAAAATGCATATAGTGGGCTTCACCTAGATAAGGGTTGTTTTTATTGTTGTTGTTATTGCATTTTCAAATGAGCTTTAGGTTCCATTTACTAGCGAAGTTTAGTCTTAATAAATTTTATCAAGATACTTTTTCTCTTCTTCACACACACACTCACGCACACGCACCTGTGTAAGCTGGGACAATTTGTAAAGCAGCTTCTCATAATTAGTGCGCTACATTTTGCTGCAGCACTCACTCTTGTCACTCGGCGGAAAGGTGAAGGACAGTGACATATCCCTTTTAATTAATGCAGGCGTCCTTGTGAGTTAACTATGAATCTAAACCGCCTTCTATTTTGTTTACTTTCTATGGTTGTCTGTAATTGTGTTAGTGTTGTTATAGCTACCAGTCAGGCTATTGCTATGCTGAAATTTCTAAACATAATAGAAGTATTTAAATATAACTTAGAGGCACCTATCTTTACAAATTACTTTTTTTTTGGGGGGGGGGGGAATCAATTTTATATGTACAATAAAAAAAACTTGGGCAAGTTTGAAAATATTAACCCATGTAATTTTTCTATTTTTCAGATTTGGGTTGCCAAGTTGTAGTTTCGCTTCCCCCCTTTTCCTTTTGCAGGGAAGTGGATATAATTTTAGTTTGTATGTGCTTTGATATTGGATGGCTTTGAATCATACAAAGCACAACTTTCTGTAACACTTTTTGTTTTGTAATATCTTCAAACTGATAAGGTTTTATGGTTGATTTTTATGAACTATTGAGAAGAAACCTTGGGGATTGAGATCATTTTCTAATTTGGTTTTCTTCTTTCAGTTTTGCATGCGTGTGTTTGTGTCCTTTTTTGTGAAGTCCAATGTAAAGCAACATTGAAGAAAATATGGAAGAACTGTCGTAATGCCAATGGCTCTCATGTTTTTTAAATAAGGGAGAAAAAAGTGGAAAGAAAATGATCTTGTTCTCAGTTCCTTAATATACTTTACACGATTCTCGTGTAGTTTTTTGTGACTGTCTTTGCCATCAATCCTCTATGCATGTAACATTTATACATATTTTCAGACTCGGCAACTTATCGATCCTAACATGTATTGGTTTGCAATTCCAAGTATTGGCTCACTACTTAAAGGTCTTGCTCAGGTATGAAATTTTATGCTTAAGGCAGTATGATGGGAAGTATGTCAGTATAGGCTTTAATTATAATTGGTGGCCTTGTTAGTAACTTTCATGCTCATATCATTATATTTCAGCCTTTTTATATTCTTACAGATTTCGCTGAAGGACACTGGACAGTTTGAGAACTTGTTTGAGATAATATAATATTTATGGACTGTAGTCTAACGCTACTTAACAGAATGGCGTCCGTGGTCATCATGCATAAGCCTTTCATATGTAACCTAGTCCAACTATGACCTTCTATTGCTGGAGATATTTATTACTGGAGGGCATGGGGAAAAATTTTGTGGGTTGTGTTGTTTGCTTATTTGGTGGCATATGATTTGGGTGCTTACATGGAACTGGCAGTAACTGAACTTTCTTGTTGAAAGGTTCTACTCTGTTCTACTTTGAAAAGATACCAACTTTCTAAAGATACTGTCAATTTTTCATATTAAATTCTGATTTTTTTTTATGAGGAACTATGTTCAAATTAAAGGATCCAATAATCCATTTGTTACTTTTGTTCAGGGGGAGAATGGAAATTAATTTCTTGTATTGCGATGAATTTTTCTTAATTATTTTTTTATTTAAACCTTTTGTTCAGGGAAGAAAGGAAATCATGTCTCTTCTCAACCGTCGTAAATATAAAGAGATGATGTTAAGTTCTTTGGAAAAGAAGCGCCTTCGAATGTCTCCACTTGATATGAGGTTTCATCTTCGTGATCTGATTGGATCTGGTCAACTTCAAACTAACTTGACGCCGACTGGTTTAGTTGTTCAAGTTTCAAAAGATTAGGCAGGAATGTCCTAAACATATTTGGACGCATGGTATGATTTGGTGGCATTTTTCCTTGCTATCAAATTAACAAGCTGGTTTAGTTATTCGTGCCCTGGATAAAATTAGCCGATTAGCTTAAATTACTTAAAAGGCTGTCTTTTATATAACAGACAGTGTTATCCACGTTGATCAGGAGAACGAGTCATTTGTTATCCAGCCTGATCAAGCGAACAAGTGATGGAATTCAGGCAATCACACCAACCTTCTTCGACAATCAACATCGATCAGGAGAAGCTCATGTGAGTCTCTTCTTCAATAGGTCTTTTATGGTGCAGTATCATTTGTTTAGGCTTAGTTTCTTCTATTATGACCTTTCTTGGGGAAATTATGGTTGCGGTTCATCATCTGATAGATTGATATGTTTGTTAAAAACAAAAGCATCTATGCATGAATTATTTATTTTGTTCTAAGATTTCATCGTCCCTTATTGGATGAATAAGTCAAAGTCATCGAGTTCAATTTTTAATATTACAATATAAAATTTGTAAGAAATCGTCTTATTCATAAATCATGAATAGTATCATTCTTTTCTCAGATTCTGTATGATGCATAGGATCTGCATTTATTTATAACAATTTCTTAAACCGTATTGGTTTGAAAATAATATTTTATATGTTCTGCAATGGGAAAAAACCAGAAATATCCTGTAAATAACGATTTGATAGTATCAGTTGTTAAACAACATTTCTGAGTACTATGGAATATTTGAGCTTTTAAGCTATGGATCTAAACATAACGAGGAGAAAAAAGGAATATCCTGTGAAGGATAAATGAGTTAAATAACAGGAAGGTGGTTTTGCATTTTTGCTCATTTCCCTGAAAGTAGAACGAAGTGTTGCATCTGATGAGATGATACGCTTCTACCGGAGGAAAGGAATCCAAATGTCGTAACTTCTGCTGCTGACAAAGGACTACTTTCACTATCATTAGTTCCAAATGGCTTCAAAATTTAATTCCAAACTGAAATCGAATGGTCCTCCTAGTCTTTGATCAGAATCCATGATTTATTTGATAAAGCACAGAAGGGGTATTATTCTCTTCCTAGATGACGGGACTGACAACCCTTTTTCTCAGCCTTAGTTAGTTTTAATCTTTGATCAGAAGGGATATCCCGTGAATTTTGTTTGCAAGCATATTAAATCATTTTGTTTTCCCGGTGCTACGCATTTTATTTTATTTTATTTTTTTTGCTTTCATGATTCATCGCTATTTTTTTCTAATTCAGAATTATAGTCATGATTGGACAATGATTAGGGTGTGAGTCTTCTCTCTCTCTCTCTCTCTCTCTCTCTCTATATATATATATATATATATTGTAGATTAAGCATTATCCGAGTATGAGCGTATTATTTGTCATTCCACAATATCCCAAGCCGGCTGAAAAAAGAAAATGGTGGGGGTTGCATTCACGGTCTTTGCTTTATTTAATTTGTGGTGATACATTATGTAGTTCTTTTTTCATCCTGAAAACTGCAGCCCAATGATCCCCTGCCTATATTACCTGGCAACAGCATAATTGTATAGCGAATATATATGAAACTTGTTCAAGGCTAAATATGCTCAAGGCTTAGGCTGTAGCCTACCAAAACTCGAATATTGTATTCCCTGTTATCAAGTAGTAGGAGGCCTATAAAACTTACAAGTCATTCATGCACTATAGTTGCGCACAAGACCACACTAGTTATTCAATAATGATAATTGATGCAAAGAGTTTGACTGATCAATTATATAGAAAGTTCTAATTGTTGGAAGCCTTGTCTTTTCGTGAAAGTGCATAGAATTTGGCTAAGTTTGGCAGATTAGGAGCATTGGGATGTGTCTAATGGTTTATTATAGTTTATGTTCTCACGTGTTCGTATGTGTTTTGTTGCTTTATTAATAGTCTGCTTTTGTTCCTGCTCAACATGCATCCCCTTGAGGGGAAAATTAAATATGTGAGGTTGATTGGGTTAGGTGATTTAAGGTATTAAAACTAATCGTATCTGATCAGTTGACATGGTTGTTAAGAATTATGTGGCACGAATTAATTAATCCTTGTAAGATCTCAATCCTATCCCACTTTGTGGGAGTGCTTTGGTATTGAATAGATCGTACAAATTTCTTCTAGGGTTTAATAAAATATAGTTGATGCTTTGATCATTCTTTAAATTATGTTTGTTTCTCATCTAGTTCTTTATCAAAAAAAATCATCTTACAGGATATGGTTTTCTTCCAAGAATAGAGTTATTCAATTATTTAAATGTCTTATTATTAAAAAAATACAATCTCGAATTAATACTTGATGTTGCGTAATATTCATTATATGATATTAAGAATAAAACCAATATTAAAATGTTCAAGAGATTTCGAAGTGGAGGATGTATAATAACACTATATATACAAATATATGATTGTAGGCGATATATTTATGGAGGATCACTATATATACTCTTTATCCTTAATATAAAACTTAATTGAGAAGTTAATATTAGTCCAATATGTGAGATTTATTTTACATCTTTATTTTTTTTTAAATAATCTTATTAATATTTTTCCAACAATAATTAAGTAGGAGAGAGAAGAATTAAGAAAAATTTTAGAGTGTTTAAAAAATAATCATATTAATTAATTAATTAATATTTTAATATATTTAAATTAATTAACTAGGTTTATAAAAAAACTTAATTGAGAAGTTTTTTTCAAGCGATTCATCCCTAATGCCCATGACTTGCAGGCTTGAAGAATGAAGCATCTTCCCGCTTTTGCTGGCAATGCCCAAAAATCGTCCAAACTTGAAGGTGAACGTGACATATAAACAACTTGGAATTCAAATTTAAGTTTATACAACAATAATTGTCTTTTGCACCGTAACAATGAGGAGCTTGGAGGAGGGATGTTTTTTTATTATGCAAAAAATAAATTATACGATATTCACTGTATTTCTATTATTTTTATAGCAACAGCAATTATGTTTTGCACCAAACTTTTTTTCCCTCTTGATCGTCCCTTGAGCTTGCTTGAATTAATGGCCACAGGATCAGGCATCAGGAGAATACAAGTCAAGAGCTACAGTTAATTAGGGACTTGAGTCCCTTAATCATTCTACGTCGCGCGGTTTGCTGCCTCTTATTAATTGATAACTACTGATAATTAGTGCTTATTAATATAATATATATTATATAAAACTTTGGTCCTCAATTATTGTATAAATACTGTTTACATTGGACTTTTGTCTTTTTCTTTTTGTTTTGGACTTGTTTTTTTTGGGTTCTGATCATTAGAAACAATCCAACCCTCTCAATTTGCAGGGGAATTATTCTAGTCAGGACTAGTAATGTTTCTTTGTGAGAGTGTGACACGGACATCGCCATAACTTGATGATTAGTAAAAACAAAACATTGAAAAACACGTTTAAACTTGTATTGTCTATTGTTTTCTAAGTGGTGGTGGAAAACTGGAAAGGTACTCATCTATTCCTATTTATAAAATACTTCCAACATATTTTACATAGATCAAGAAAAACCTTAAAATGCATTAACTCTCCATTAAAATATAATAATTTTTTAACTTTACCCATATTTAATATAACTATAGTGTAGGTAGTTATAATTTCAATTGGATCAAGGCGAGGAAAAGAGCCATAGTCTAGTGGTCGACCAGGAGCATAATTGTCAGTACTAAAAAAGTCCATGAAGAAATTGGTAGCAATTTGTGTTAAAAATTTAATGAAGTGACTTATAAATAGGATCCAAAAAAACCTTCTCTCTCTACCCTATAAATAAGGTCAGAGGAGTATACTATTTAACATTTTCCCCCTCCTTTTGGACTTTGAACTGTTTAGCTATCTATGGTTTGCAAATCAAAATACAATTATTAGATTCATTATTTTGAATAAGAGAGATTATTTTGGATGGATTGGAGGCTAAACCCGAACTAATTGATAATCACATTTTCAATGAGTTGTATTCCAGAAAATTTGATAGACAAGGTAAACCAATTGTTACCCCTTGTTACTTAAGAAATTAAAATGCCCAGCGTATGCGTCTTATCAATCACCATATGAAGTTTCGGAAATGAATTCAACAGCTACTAAGGTTAATACTGGATGTGGTTGTAACTATAATACTTGAAACCCTTGACAGCTCGAAATGGATCTTCTCCGTCCATTTCTCTTCATATCTCTCTCCAGTCAAATCTGAGTCGTTGAATAATGCATTCAAGAGTTTAGACAAGTACATTTTATTCCATGATATCTTTATTAGTTACCTCCACTTTTTCTGTTATTTGCCCCAAACAAAAATGCCTCTGTCATAAGACAGCAAAAAGATGAAGGGCTGGGTAATTGATTGGAAGCAAACAAAAAATAGAAACATAATATTTCTGGTTTTTATCGTAACCAGTGGATTCTACTGGATGGTTGAAACTTGACCCAAGAGAGACAGTAGAGGAACTCGCCGGAAGTAATCATTTTAATTTCCCTGGACAGCTACCAATCACCAAGAAAAAAAGAGTAATAAATGGTTTTAACGAACAAAAAGGAAAATTACTAGAATAACTTTCAAATTCTGGGGACCTGGAATTTTTGTCGACATCAACTTTTAGAATTAATGAAGCTGATAGAAACATGATTTTGACGTCTCCTTCATAATTTGAAGAATGAGTTAAACACACTAATGATATACATAATATTCAGTTTCTCATATCTGTTATTTTACCCCCTCAGCCTTATAGTTTAGATTGAGACTCCTCATCTGTCGAGACCCTCTTGTCTGTTTGACGCACAGTGAACTGTTAATATGTTAACTCGTCGTTCACCTAACTTGATTGGGAACTATATCCCCACCATTGATATGTTTCTAGTAACCGTTTTAATTGATTATATATGTATCCAATAATGGATTTAATTGAAGTCCAATAATATATATGAGGAGCTCGATCTGATTGACATGTAGACCCTGATGTTTGATTATTACAATTGACAATTCTCTTATTTTGTCCACATATATGTGGACAGCCAAACATGACCCCCACCTCTGCCTCTCTTTCATCGCGTGGCCTGTGCTGTTTTGTGACAGGTTATTAAGGTTAATCTTTCAGCACACAATTATAATTTTCTGCCTCCAGATAACTATATTGACAAACAACTAAAAACTAAATCACATTGGTAAAACCGTGTTTTATAGGGTGTGGGGACCTTTTCACTCACTCTCTAGAGGAGTTTTATAGGATATTGCAGACCATACATAGTTCTTGGTTAGTTAAGGATTTATTTAAAACGTTAATTATTAGACATGCTAAATTTTACTTATGAGGCTCTCTAATATGAAACTCATAATTTGTCGGATTTTGGCACAAGAGATGTATAACAAAGTAATAGTGTTCGAAGAAGATATACGCATTGCCGCCATTTTTAGATGGAGGGTTGGTGCATATCACTTTTTTTATTTGAATAACAATAATATAAATGGGTCATATATAAGAATGAAAACTTCAAAATTAAATTTGAATCTGAATGGAAACTAGTAATGTGATCAAATGTGCACAGAGGAATAGGC